CACCCTGCTCGTTTTAGCGAACCTCGGCATAGGGGGAGGTCAGCGATAGGATTTGGGGGCACCTCCCGTGTGCGGGGCCGCACAGGTGTGCTGGGCCTGCAGTGGCCCGAGGGCCGCTTCTCAGGGCCATGCGTCTCAGTAGGTGATGGATGGTGCCCGCGCCCCAGGGCAGAGCTCCCTTCCTCATCAGCCCCGGGCAAGTGCTGTTCTGTGTGCCGGGCGCCTGAGTGCCCGGCTGCCTCCCCTGTGCCGCCCGCGGCGCGCTTGACCCAAAGGTTATGCCTGCCTGTTTGCCTCACAGTTTGGGTGTTTGCACACCCCGCACGTCGGGGGAACCCCGGTAATGTCCCTCAGATGAGTGGCTGAAGCTCAGTCAGGGATGAAAGGAGCAAATACCATTCTTTTCTCCTAAGCAACCAGATCCTCTCATTCAGAAAGTTTTGATGTTAACGTGTATAAACTTGAAAACACCACCATTTTAGAACGCTTGCCTCATGGGAAATATAAGAGAAAGGGAGGAAATTGGTTAAAATGGATGCTATGGGACTCTCCCACACACACACTTAGAAAAAGAAAAAAAAATGAGCCTTTGCTTACTATATCTGACAAATACGGTGACCTCTTTCCATCTCTCTGCATCTCTAAAGCGATCTCCTTCCATCCTGATGGAGCACCCTCTTTTGGAGCATGAGAAGGAAATTGTTTTGATCAAGATACTAGCCTTCCCCCAGTACTACACTGGCCAGGCAGTGTTGTGGGAACCTACGTTGAGTTAATCTTAATTGAAAAGACCCCACTCAGATTTCTGAGTCTACAGTTTTGGCTTCAACCCAGCTTTCTACAATGGCAGGAGGCTCCTTTGCTCCTGAGTCTGTCCAGAGGAACATTCTAGAACTGAGGTCTACCCATCATTCTTCTAGCAGGCAAGACCCAAGGCATGATTCCTAGGACCAATGGACATGGTTGCTACTCTTGGTGTCTTTAGAATGGAGCCAAAGAAATTATTCCCAAGTAACAGAGCAAAGTAAGTGCTACATGACACATCCGGAAAAGATTGCCACAAGTGTCCAGAGGTGGAAGCTGATGACTTTCAACAGAAGGAACTCTGAACCAAGGTTGCACTTTAGCATTCCCCGGGTATATGTTCACATGTCCAGGCCAGATCCCAGGAACTTAGAGGATAGGGTAGGGATCAGACATCATTCTCTTTCTGAAAGCAGCCCCAGATAATTCTGTTGTATAGCCAACATGGCAAAACTCCCACACCAAGCTTATCAGAGCCTGCCTCACAGAGATCCTGCCACTTGAATTGATAGGGTGTGAATGATAGGGTTTGAGCCTATTGAGCCAGATGTGGTGAGAGATAGTCCAAGCAGACGAATCCTGAAGGCCAGCATAGTATGTAGGGAGATAAAGACCCATTTCCTGCAGCAGCCCTTGTCGCCATAGATGGTGCCAAGTCTGGAGTCAACAGGCTACCGGGCACCTTTGCAGGAGCTGTGTAATGAGCTCCTTGGTGCCTTGCTTATGGCAGAAGATCCATGGTTACCTCTCGGGGGATTCTTGTTGCCTCATTGACTATACCTAGGAAGGCAGTCTGGTGGCATGGGTGGGGAATGGGACCCAGGCTGCATCAAGGGAGAGAAAAGCAGACAGCCACACAGATTTTGTGGAATTTGTCCCTTAGAGCCCCCTTTGCTCTATATATTTGATCTAAAACACACCCGTCCAAGCCCCACTAGGAACTTCATATTCTAGGGAAACTAGTGCCTCCTGACCTGGGCAAACCAGGTAGTGGTACTGTGTACCCCACAAAACTGGGTCTCCACCTCACCTGTAAAGCAAATGACCCAGCCACAGACCTGGCAGCTTGGAAGTTTGTGCCTGCCTAAGGCACAAGGTTTACTGTGTAAAGCCATCCTCAGAGTTTTCCTATACACTGTATATAACAACAATTTAAGGCTGGGAAGGTGGCTTAGTGGTAGAGTGATTGCCTAGTATGCATGAAGCCCTGGGTTCAATTCCTCCATACTACATTCACAGAAAAAGCCAGAAATGTGCTGGTTGCCAGTGGCTCATGCCTGTAATCCTAGCTACTCGAGGCTGAGATCTAAGGATTGTGGTTCAAAGCCAGCCTGGGCAGGAAAGTCTGTGAAGACTCTCTTCAGCAAACCACCAGAAAACCGGAAGTGGCGTTGTAGCTCAAGTGGTAGAGTGCTAGCCTTGAGCTGAAGAGCTAAGGGACAGTGCCCAGGCCCAGAGTTCAAGCCTCATAATCAACTGGAAAAAAAAAAGCCAGAAGTGGTGCTGTGGCTCAAGTGGTAGAGTACTAGCCTTAAGCAAAAGAAGCTCAGGGGCAGCACCCAGGCCCTGAGTTCAAGCCCCAGAACTGGCAGAAAAAAAAAATTAAGTACACACTTTTATATAATTTATCTGATTTTAGACTATAGCTACATACAATTGTCCTGACATATTATGAACATAGAAATACAGTTAGGTGTAGACATACAAATGTAAAGTAAGGGAATGAGATATGAGGTAAGCATGATTAAAATTTTCTACCATGTGAATTGTATACAACCTACTGCATAAATTGCTTTTTTTTAATGAAAGTTATGTGATCAAGTTCACATCCCATTTATAAACTCTTGGTGAAACCAAGTCCCAGCATGTGACCAGCTGGTTCTAAATCCTCTTTATTTCAGGACCCAATGGTGGCGTTTACAGGTGCATTAGATACTCCTGTGAAGGCACCTCGACCGCACTTCAGGGTCAGAGTGCTCACTTTCCATCCCATTCTCCAGCTATGCCAGTGCTCAGAATGTGTTTGGATTGGAATGTGTTCTGGGGCTGTCAGGGTGGATGGAAGTCAGGTCTCCAAGACTTTTTGATATGTGTTTGTGTAGATAGTACTCTTGAAGCATCTTTAGAAGCATAATAACGTAAGTATGAAAGCATCTTGTGTTCCTAAGCTTGGTATTGCTGTTAGCAAACATCTGAGCTGTGTCAACTTTGAAACAGAAAAGGTTTATTTTGGCCCAGTTTTCGAGGTTTCTGTGTACAATCCATCGGCACCTTGCTTTGGGGCGCTGTAGTGAAGCAGCACAGCATGTCAGGGAATGAGTGTGCAGCAGAGCAGAATTGTTTTTCTCATGACTAGGTCCCAAAAGAGAGAAAAAGTGATCTGGGTACCGGTGGCTCACACCTGTAATCTTAGCCACTCGAGGCTGAGATCTGAGGATTGCAGTTCAAAGCCAACCTGGGCAGGAAAGTCTGTAAGACTTATCTCCAGTTAACCATCAGAAAACCGGAAGTGGTACTGTGGCTCAAAGTGGTAGAGTGCTCACCTTGAGCGAAAAGCTCAGGAATAATAATGCCCAGGCCCCGATTTCAAATCTTATGACCAATAAAAAAGAAAAAAGAGAGTGAGAAAGACTTGGGGTTCCCCACCTCCTATAAGAACATGCCTCCAGTCACCTAAAATTTCTCACTGAACCCTATTAAAGTCTCTGCTACTTTCCAATAGTGCCAAGCTAGGGACCTTGCCTTTAACACATGGGCCTTTGGTCTCCATACATACATGTTTCATACATGCATTGTTCTTGGCACAGATTTTAGAATGACCCAAATCTCATGTATCATCAGTTTTTTTTTTCCTTGAAGGGACAGATTTTAGTACATATATTTAAAATAAAAGAGTCTGGGCACCTGTGATTTGCACCTGTAATCTTCACTACTCAGGGGATGAGTTCTGAGGGTTGAGTTTGAAGCCAGCCCAGGCAAGAAAGTCAATGAGATGAGATGTTTATCTCCAGTTAACCAGAAAAAAAAAAAAGACAGGAGACTCTTGTGCCAGCCTTGAGCAAAAAAGCTAAGGGACAAACAACAACCTCCCCCCCTCACACACACATGTACACACACATACAAGGAAAGAAGTGGAAGAATTTGGGATTCCCACAATTTGCTGCCATGGTGCTTATAAACCAGCACAACCCTGAGCTCCTGAGCTGACAGCAGTTGCGGGAAAGACCATTTTGAGGGGAATCAGACCTTCCACCAAGAGTTCTCAGAAATTAGCAGCCCACAGTACACACTCACTTAACAAACACTGAAACACTCCATGGCTTGTGTAATGTTTAATATTTTAACGGTAAGCAAACAGGCTTTTTAGTGGGATGGAGAGGGACTGGCTTCCTTCCCTGGCTTGTCCCCAGGAGGCACAGAGTGAGCTCTCCTCAGTGGCAAGTTCTCAGAGCCCTCTTGGTGGGAGGGGGTGTCTGCCTCACAAGTGGTTAAGCCTCTCTGTTTGCCTTTGGGTAGCTGGCAGGCCCCCTGGGCCAATCCTAAATCACTTCTTAGGGACTCTCTGTGGCACCCCAGTGTAGAGTGTTTTAAGGAACTTCCTTCCGTCGTGTACATTGGCTTTTGTAACCAGAAAATTTCCAGATTTTGTAATTTCAGATCTCCTCCCTTAAATTCCTTAGCTCAAATGGAACCAACACAAGTGTAGGTAGTGTTCTCTGAGTCTTCTGATAAGGCAGGGCATGGACAAAGCCTGCAGGCTGGGGAGGGGGGCGGTATAGGAGCAAAGAAAGTCTCTAAGGAAGTGGTAGGGCTAAAAAGAAATTATGTTACATCTCAGACACTTAGAAGGGTGCACAGGAGGATACACAGGATGAAGTACCAGGTTAAGATGTTAAGCCTGACCTGTTGGCTTCCTTTCTTGGGCTGGTACTTCCTGTTGCTCTTGTCTGTCAAGGTTGACCAGAGCAGGAGCCCAAGCCACATTTGGAGGCCATTGGAGCAGAGCGCTGAGGAGTAGGAAAGGGTGTAATACACAAGCATCTCCTTTCTGCACCTGGAGAGAACCAGGCTCCACCCAGGCATGCGTACTCTTAAGTCCAGGCTCTCTCTTGTTAGATCGTTCTTGAAGCAGCATGCTTTTCTTTTCTAACTTGATAAGGTGTGTGTTGAAATAATTTTCCAAATTATGCTTAAGCACCCTCCATCTGTCCAAAAGGTGCCAGAGAGTCATGTCCATGAGCTCTGGGTCCCTCCTGGTATCCCATGAGACCTCAGCGCTCCTGCATCCCAGGCCCACCCTGCTGAACTCCAGGGGCTCGCTGGCCCCACCCTCAGACTCCTCTGCGTAGCACCACCACCACCACCACCACCAGGACTCCAGTTCACCTGCAGCCCTGAGGAGCTGCCCCCACCCTGCCTCTGCCTGACTCAGGTCAGTTTCTGCTCGGCCTCTGCAGCCCCAGCAGGAGGATGGAATGCGTCTCCCTCACTGCCCTGGGCCCTGGGTGGGAGTAGACAGGAAGAGGTGTTTTCTTTTCTGGACAAACTGCCAGAAAAGGAAGCCATCTACTTCTCTGACCAGAAAGCTTTTTTTTTTTTTTTTTGTCGGTTGTGGATCTTGAACTCTGGGCCTGGGTGCTGTCCCTCAGCTCTTCAGCTCAAGGCTAGCGCTTTACCACTTGAGCCACAG